AAAGAAACACAAGGAGGAAAGGCGCCGCTCACTTTTTGTCGGTCTGGAATTCTGTTACGGTACTGCTGCTGAGTAGGAGCGCGGAGACGTAGGAGAATTTTAATAATCCAAAGGAAACAGGAAAACACACGTAGCAAGGATGACATGAACAATTCCAGACAAGGGAGAACAGAACGGGCTCAAACTCAAATAGGGCAGATAACGAGGGGCAGACAGGTGATGAGGATAACTAATAACAAGGAACAGGTGATTACTAATAATGGGAAAAGGAACTGGAAGGACCAAATAAGGACAAACAGGAACGTGACACACACGTGACAGTAATATTTCACAATATTACTGTTTTTACTGTATTTTTGATCAAATACAGCCTTGATGAACGAAAGAGATGTCTTTCAAAAACATTACAAATCTTACCAACCTCAAATGTTTGAACGATTGTTTTATGTAAATGTGTGTGGTATGTAATGAAGTATGTTACTGATTGAGACTTCGGCACTTACTGCAACATCTCCTTGAACCATTGCCTGCTTTGATGCACACGTTTAAGGTTCACACACACACACACACACACACTCACACCCCAAGGACCACTTCTCTCTCCTCGTTTTCCTTCCTGTAGTAACATCCTTTTGAAAGACATTAGAGCGCATTAGACCAACCCCATCTGACAGAGCGGTGAAGGATTTTTGAAGTGGCAGTTCTGGGGTTCAGTCTCTGCTCTGACCCTCAATTCATTTCCCTCCAAGATTTACAAATACTGCAGTCCATGGGCAAGAACTCTAAGCCACAGATTCAGATCAGACCATTTTAAATGGCATTTTAAAGGAATAATTCAGCCCAAAATTAATATTTTGTCATCATTTACGCACCCTAATGTCATTCCAAACCCACATGGCTTTCTTTCTCCTGTGGAACACAAAAGAAGTTCTGAAGAATTACTTTTCTTCCATGCGGTTACTACAGTATGAATGAGGGCTGGAACACACTGGCACAAAAGCACCATTAAAGTATCATATGTAATTTGTGTAATAATATTCCAATTCTTGTGAAGAAAAACACATTAGCTACATGTGAGGAACAGACTGAAATATAAGTTTCTATTCACTGATCCTTTCCAGTGGTCTGTTGCAGATGTTCTTGTTGAATACTTGTTCTTGAACCAGGGCTGCATTTCCCAAAAGCAGCGTAAGCCTAAATAGATCACAGAGAACACTGGTGACAATAGGGCCTTTCGCACCGCGGGAACCTTTTCATAGTACCTGAACTAATTGTGGAACTACCCACTTTTTGGTGTGTTCGCACCGCAGAAACTAGGAGCGGTTTTAGTTCTAGGAACTCCGTTTGGAGGAACTAAATTAGCTCCTACTTCAGAGCAGGGTCTAAAACAGTTCTATAGGAAGTATCAGTGACGTAAGTGTATGCTGATTGGCCAAACGCACGCGAAACACTGGCCACCCGTCATTTTTAAAAAGCCACGTAAACATATTTACTCCACAAACATGGAAAACAGCGATAACGGCATTTACCTGTTGTCTGCAGTGTTGTGTTCTTTTCTCAGCTTCGATGATATGTAACACTGCAAGTTGTCATAAAAAAATTAGTCTCTTAGCCCAACTTTTTGCTCTTGCAATCGCGTAAATCGTGCGTTTACATCTCCATCTCCATTATAAAAAGACATCGCTGTCGGCCGCTTCAGAGTTCCTGTTGCCGGTGCGAATGCAACTAGGAAAACGGCCCGAGGGAGAAATTGGTTCTCTAGGAACTACCCTGCTGGCTAGTTCCTAGAACTAAGTTCCTAGAACTACGTGGTGCGAAAGCCCCTATTGGCTTCTATACTTTGAAAAAAGTAGGCCCAGATCAGTCTGATTAGTGAAGTGCATCTTCCAGTTTGAAAAGTTATGAATCCATTGAAAAGTTTTAAATCAAAAGAACAATTGACTTATGAATGATTCATTTACTGATTAATTTGGAAACAGTTCATTTACAAACAATTCATTTATGAATGATTATTCACTGATTCATTTAGAAACAGTTCAATCAAAAAAAAATAATTTACTAACAAATAATTAATGAATGATTCACTCATTTCTCTCATAAACATACCATAGAGAAATAGGGATGATATTGAAATTTTCACTGGATGGCAACTTAAAATAATTTTTTCTTGACACTTTTTTTTTTTTTTGATTGCTACATTACAGTTTTTGTTTGTTTGTTTTTTAGAGATGCGTGTTGGTTCTAGGTTTTTAAAGGAAACCTGTTTCACAAAAAGTGAACAATTTGACCATTCTTTAACACCAGCACATGGTGGTTTTCTTTAGAACTCAAATAGTAAAGATTTGTAAAATGACACTGTTTAATGTAGGGACTCCATATCTGAACTGATAGGCCTCTCTGTGGATGGAAATCTATAGAAAATAGAGAAAGCCATGTGCGTTTGTGTGTGAGAATAGGGAGGCAGTCATGCTCGGTATCATAATGTAGGAGTATGAGACATATTGCATTAGAGGCAGTCACCATGTCCTCGCTATCACTGCTGCGATAGGGCTTCTCTCCGTCTGGGCAGACACTTGGCGGACTCCAGTCTGCCTCTCCGCCTGGTTATCAGCTCCACGCCGTGAGCTCAGTGCTGCAGATGCCCAAGAGAGCTCCATCTGAGCCATACTGATATCAAGGCTTCCTGGGAGTGGGTCAGAACCAACCTCAAAACCGCTCATTACCATAACACTGTTTGGCAGGCAGTTTTCCGAATAACTTTTGGTGATAAGACAGTGTGGGGAGTGAATGTAGGAGCAAATGCACACATGTATGAATGCAGAACCCGTCACATTAAATGGTAGACATCAAAATATGACTTTTCTATCGGAAACCTGACCCTTGACCTCTGACGAGGAGAAAAAACGCTATCTATCCAAATCTTTCACTTTAACATCTCCCTCCTCTCATTTTTATTGCATGATATTAATTCTTGTTTGTAGATGTAAACAAGTGGTGTCAGGCTTGTCAAACAGACTGATGGAAGTATGATGCTGGAGTATGAGTTTAGAATGTGTGTTTGTAGTGTTTGAGCTATGAGTCACAGATGCAGCATTATGAAACGAGCCGCACAGAGCCAGCTCTCTTACTCTCATTATCCTGCTAATGGGCCGACTGGCAAAATCACAGCCACTAATGTTGAGAAATATCAGACGTACAGTATATGTGAGAGGAAAACAGAAGTTTGTCAGTGTTAGTACCATAGTTTAGGATTATTTGCATCAAATATAGTCTCTTTTTATACAAGCTTATTTCAACTTGTGTACTGTTTCTATAAGAAAAAAAAATGTCTAAGTGGATGCCAAGAGCTTTCCTATACTATTATAGTTTTTATTAATATTTTAAATTAACTTTTATATTATTTATTTTATATTTTCAGTTTTTATTAATCTTATTTTTTTTAATATTACAATTTGGGTTTAATTAATTTATTTATTTTTTTCATTTTTAGTTCAGCTTTATTTTTTATTTATTTCCCGTTAGTAGTTTTTTTTCTTATTATTTCATTTATTGTCAAGTTGAAGATTTTTCATCTAATGTTTACATTTTATTTTATTTTAATTATTTTATTTCAGCTTTATTTCTAAATTAATTTCAATTGAATCTCAAAATTATCAAAAATGTTTTAATAGTTTTAGCTTAGTAAACCATATATTTTTAAAAAATATTTTAATATAATAAAAATAAACAAAATGTTTAAATATAGTTATAAATTGTAATTTATTTTCATTATTTTATTTCAGCTTTATTTCAAAATTATTTTTAAAAAATTATCAAAAATGTTCAGCTTTATTTCAAAATTTATTTCAATTGAATCTCAAAATTATCAAAAATGTTTTAATAGTTTTAGCTTAGTAAACCATATATTTTAAAAAAATATTTTAATATAATAAAAATAAACAAAATGTTTAAATATAGTTATATATAAATTGTAATTTATTTTCATTATTTTATTTCAGCTTTATTTCAAAATTATTTTAAAAAAATTATCAAAAATGTTTTAATAGTTTTAGCTTAGTTAACAATAATAATCCCAGTGATTGCTAGGGCAATGCTATGGTGGTGTGGGTGGTTCCCAGGGTGTTACTATGTGGTTGCTAAGGTATTCTGAATGAATAGGGTGCTTTGGATGGTTGCAAAGGGTGTTGTTAAAAACAGTTAGGCTGCGTTTCACTGACTAGATATATCTGAACCAAAGGGTTCTTCCACAGCCTAATAGGGAAGACATGAAGCTGAAGAGAGTGACACAGACAGGATATCTCCAATCTTTTGGACAGAGGAGGTTTGATAGTGGAGTTTTGCTGGGAAGTTTGGGGGTTGTTAGCTGTCTGAGCTGTCCTCACTGGTCTGTACTCTCATCCTGATGATAACACGCTCTCTGTGGACACAGAAACCTTTAGTTTTATAGATTGTACTGGCTCTGCTCATTTCAAAATCTGTCCCATGTGACTCCCTCCCACAGTACTCGCATGCACAAAGATTGCATCCTTCCATCTTGGCCTCTCTCTTCCTATCTGTCCTGCTCTGTCTCCATCATAGTTTTCACAGTATGAAGTTTCATGCACCTGGTGAGTTTGAGCGTGTGTGTGAGCATAGACTTTAAGCGATGAGAAGAGGAGCAGTAGGTTGAGTGTGATGAAGCACATATAGAGGAGAGTCGTTTATGTCTGGCCGTGTGAGAGATATAATGTAAATAACCTCGGCCTCACACGATCGATTTATCAGACCTTCGGCTCAATCTCCCATAAACAGCTTTGGGGTGACCCCACATCTGTCCGTCCGTCCCCACATGTACAGCTTTAAGATGAACCCAGAGTGTGTGAGTGTAAGAAAGCCTGCCTGCCTTTTATATAAACATATCTTTAAAAGAACTGCATAGAACTGGATAGAATGCCAACGTAAAAAAAAAAATATATGCAGGGGAGTAACACCGCCACTCCCAGCCCCCCTACCCCAAAACACACACAAACATAAACACAAGCCACACACACACATCCACAAATACAACACAAATACAAATACAGCTGCAAGACATCTTGATAATATCGGACAGCTGATCCATTCCAGGTCAGTGTTCATCCCAGACTGCACTCCATGCCCTCGTCTCTCTCCTCGCTTGCGTCCGTGTCCCTGGTGACACAGTAACCATCCTACAGGTCAGATGCACAGACTTAACTGTATATGATTATCTAAACAAAAAGCGTCATCTTCGCTAACCAACAGATTTGTCTCGTACATTCCAATGTATTGTATGTGTCAGGCTTCCTCTTTTAAAAACCCTTCCTTAAGCAGCATTTAAAACCCCACCATCTGTCTATATTAAACAGTTTGTCAGTTATAAAGTCTTTCATGAGGTGTTGTTTTTATTAAGTGACTCCACAATGTTTGACCCAAGAGCTGCCTAACTGGATCATTTGTATTCGAGCCAGTAAATCATAGTTTTTTTTTGTCTTTTGTTATTCTAATTCATCTCTTTATTTTTTACCAGGGTTGTCACTTAAAATTTTTTCCCGTCTTAAAGTTTAGTTCTGGCCTAGAACTGCCATTTGTTAGTTGCCACGTTGCAGAGAGTGTGTCGTTGAAGTACATGTAAGATTAAGTGTGTGTGCAGTTGCTATTATCTGTCATCTTGCGAGTTGGGTGACCGCCTCTCATTTTTGTTTGTGAGTGTGTGTGTGTACGTGTATGTGTATATGTGTGTGTGTGTGTGTGTGTGCGTGCGTGCTTGAGCTCTAAGTCGGATGTGGACATGTGAGTGTCCAGTTTCCAGTAACCTTTGACCCTATACAGCTAATTAGTGATATCCCCACTAACACCACTGAGAACTTCACATTCTGCGGCATTTGTTCAATCATTTTTCATTTACAAAGACTGCTGCTCACCTGTTGCTGTCTGTCACCGTTACACCAGAGGAACTGAAAGACAAATGAAATGCAGTTAGTGATTACAAAAGATTTTTGAAATAAATATCATATATGGTCATTATTTCCATATATTATAAAATGTGTATTTTGTAATGCCTGTGCTGTCATTTTTATTTATATAATTAAGATTTTTTATTTATATTATTAATAATAATTTACTTAAAAATATCAGCTCAGGCATTACAAAATGTGTGTGTGTGTGTGTGTATATGTCTGTGTGTGTATTTATGTATGTATGTGTGTGTGTGTGTGTGTGTATGATTTTTTTATTATTTATTTTTGTTATATTGTTATTAATTGTTTTCAGTTATTTTAAGCAAAAATAATTTAAAGATTTTTATAGTTGATTGCTCAGTGCATGTATAATAAAAACCAGCAGTATATGGTTATGGCCATACAGTCTCTGTTTATTATTATTATTATTAACAACAACATTAATATTAATAATAATTTGATCGGTCATCTATTTTTTATGCATTTTTTTTTCACTGTAGATATTTGATTATGAATGTTCCAAAATATGACTAATAATAATGTTTCAAAAATGATAAATGTAAATATGATTTCTGCAGGTCACGCCTGACTTTCTTTTATAATGTTATTGAATACAGTATATGAACTGTTCTTTATTAGGCTGTCTGTTTACCTTTCTGGGTTTTAGTGTCAGGGAAGATGAGAGAGCTCAGTCTGAGATGTGGAAAACAGTGGCTATTTTAAGCTCTTCACATAATGCTGCACCAGGACAGGACAATTAATCTTATATCCCGCTTTTATTTTCTTTTGACCTGCCCACCCATCAGGGAGGAAGAGAGGGAGAGAGACTCAGTCAGAAAGACTGTTTGGCCCTTTTGCCATATCCTCATACTTTTTATACACCTGCACTGAGCATCTGAAAAGGTTCTTTCAATTACTTCAGTTTAAGATAACTGAAAACAACTCTCTTTGATTTATCACACCTGTAATCTCTGTAAAACCTGATATGCCACTGCAAGAAACAAGATCTGTCCATTCATCTGTCAGGTTAAAAACTATGGCAAGGTTAAAATACCTTTGGTAATTTGCTGTGGTAGAGAGAGAGGAGGGTTGCTGTTTGTGAGACACCGGAACTCTGAGGTGTCAGAGGGCAGATCTCTGGAGATTCTCTCTCCTTCTTTGGTGATCTCTAAGCTTGCAATTAGCACGTGGACGTCTCGTTCTTTTTGTAATTTTACACATTCGTTTAATCTGTGCGTCACTATAACTAAGGGCATCTAAGGATGATGGGCACTGACTAACATGTTGAGAGGAGAGCAGATGCCCCGCGTGTGTCGTAGCAATCATCACCTGATTTAAAACCACTCTTGAGTCGCCTTCAGCCGCGCCACTTAGAGCTCGCACAGATCGGGATGTTTTGGCTTGAATTAGTCGGTTGTATTAGAGACGGGTGTGGGGTAGCATTAAAAAAGCAAAACATGGGGTTTGGGGACGCGGAGTATCCATTTCACGTGCCCCTCCGGAGGCGCCAGTGGGCCATTTGAGACGCTTCTTGTGGGATCCCATTAGAGGGCATCGGTGCTGAAAGTTGCACGGACTCTCCCATGAGCCATGCGCGATTACGCGTGGGGTCACCACTGTACCATTTTATGAATCCCACTGTTGCAGTGCGCGCACAACCGTTATTGACCCACCATTAAAATCCTCAGTCAAATGCCACCTGACAACTCCAAGGAATTTAGAGAGCCTGTGCAAGTGATGCTCAGCGTGAACACAAACATTTACGTCTGTCAGCAGTTATAAAATATAAATGTGTAGCTATTTTACTATTCCAACAGATAAAAATAAAATAAAATAAAAATGTTAAAAATAAAAATGCAGAATTAAATTTTAATGTAACGTTTTAATAATAATAATAATTATTATTATTATTATTATCAAGTAAAAACGTTTTTTTGAAAAAAAATTGCTAGTTGCTTTAATAATTGAATCTGAATTGGATATACTGAAAAAAGGAAAGCAATTGTTACAGTTTTCAGTTCTGATGATTAGACATTTCTTTGGAAATAAGAATATAAAATTTACATTTCTTGTCAAAATTACGTTTCTTAACTGAATGAAATGGGGGGGGGCAAAATGTTTTACTAATACTGAGAAAGGAAGAGGCTGAATTGTGCTCTGAAAAACATTGATTTGATCTTTTATTGGAAACATTTACAATGCTTTTAACTGTTTTTAAAAAAATTCTGTTTAATGAATGTATGCTTATTGTGGTTTTATTGCCATTGAATAACTGTAATACACTCATAGACTATAATATGCTAAATAATACTTTTATTAAAAATTAAGTAAAATTTTAATTATGCTTATGCTATAATAAAATAAAATATAAACTAATACACCAAATTATTCAGAATAGCCTAAAAATGCACCGTGAATTAAATCCTACAATTTTTACCAAAGATTTTTCTGTTTCTGTATACATGTATGCGTGATAAATGACAACATAACACTGTATCACTGCAAAACTGGTGCACCATTGTGATTATCTGTGCAGGTTTAGTGTTTGCTTCCACTATGGAGTATGTTGCCGCGTGCGGGGGTTACGCCCCTGAGCGCAAGAGATAAATGGTAAGATCCTTTAGCTCGTGAGTTAAGTTACGCTCATACTCAGCTCGCGCATGACGCGTTTCTGCTCCGAAGGAAGTCGCGTTATCTCCAGGTCCTTTTAGAGAGCTACAAACTCGCATCTCCTCAGACTTAACTTTTCTCCACTACATCCTCGTCTCCAGCTCAACATGTCCACCGGCTCCATTAGCGATGTGGATGAATTTCACGAGTCTGAGCTGCTGGATGGTCTTTTGAAATTCGGTTCCGGTAAAGATCCGGGGACATCAAACGAGAGCACGGAGGACAGTTCCAACTGCGAAGGGGCATCGGTTACAGAATGTACGGGGAAAAGGCGCAAATCAGCCGCCATGCGTAAATCGGCGCCTAATGGTGTGGCCCAAGAGGGCAAGCAGGTCCAGAGGAACGCGGCGAACGCGCGCGAGAGGGCGAGGATGCGCGTGCTCAGCAAAGCCTTCTCCCGGTTGAAGACGACGTTACCGTGGGTTCCGCCGGACACCAAACTCTCCAAGCTGGACACGCTACGGCTGGCCTCCAGCTACATTGCGCACCTGCGGCAGATACTCGCCAACGACAAATACGAGAATAGCTACATACATCCAGTCAACCTGGTGAGAGACTTTTTAAAACTTTTTGAAAAAGAAAATAAATCCCAGTAAGCAAGATGCGTTTATGGTCTATACAGTATGTAGGGCTACAATGTAACATGTTTTCGTTATTATAACAAAATCTGTTTCCAGCCATTTAACAGCAATTTCTGTCATTTCTATCCGTTTTTGAGTTTTCAAAATTTCAGTTCGATTTTCAATGTTCCAAAAGTTGACTTTGGCAACACTTTGAATTTACTTACAAAATGGAGGCAAAAATTAAACTTATTTTAAGTTTTAGTGAGTTGAGTTGTTTTGAATTTATTTCAAACGAATTGGAGACAGAAATTTTATTTTAGAGTATACATGGTAAAATATCAGTCCTTAAATACTTGACATGTTCTGGAAATTATTAGTCCTTCAGAAATGATATGCTACTTGACCGATACCATCTTGCTTTTTATTTCAATAGTTTATAGACGGTAGTACTTGACAAAATTGTATGGAATATCCTCAGTGTATACTGTATGTAGGTTATGTTTACCATATATACATATTAAAAGCAAACATACGTTATCAGTTCAGTTATTTGGTGTGTTTACCGATTTTAATTGAACTTTCATTCATATTTTTTTACACAGACGTGGCCATTTATGGTGGCGGGCAAACCAGAAAATGAACTTAAAGAAATGCTGAATTCTACACGTTTATGTGGGACTACAGCTTCCTGAGACACCAGATGGACTTAAAACATGGACCTATTTTAAATATTTTAATTAAAAAAAGAATAACACGTCATCTCCTATCTAAACACACGAGTGGGAATACCTGGGGACAACATCCTCACTCGCATTCCTGTAAAGAGAAATTGATATCTATTTAAATATTCACACGTGGGCCTTGCTGGTTCAAGGCAACAGTGTGTGATTTTATGCAACTGTTTTTATAAAGATTCCGTCCTCACTTTTTTTATTAAAAACACGAGAAATCATTATACATATGGCTTTGGTGACGCAGTGTCATAACATCACGCGCCTTTGCTGTTGGCATTAAAATAATTGTAAATAAATATGTTATAGTTTCAAGTGGTGCAAGTTACCTCTTTGATCTAGCATGGACAGGGTTCATGTTTATTCACTTTGCTTTGACCTGTGTGAACCTTGTTATCATTTCGCCCCACCTTTTTCTCTCAAGATCTCTGGCGAGAAGACATGTCACCCTGTCACCCTGCCTGCAGAAGATAACATGATTAATTCCCTTATTCGGAAGAAACGTAAAGCTTCTCTTTATCATGATATATCTGTCATCAGATAAGCATGGCTTTAACCGTTTTGGAAATCAGAGCGAGCGCTTCTAAGTTAACAGAGATCGAGAAACTTCTCCAAAAACTCTTTTAATTCCCCCGACTCTGAATTTTTTTAAAGTAGTCAGGCCAGAAAAAATGTAGGTTGACGTGGTCCGTGTTTAAGGTCAGTTGTTTTTAGACCAGTAAATCGCGCGGCTCTTAATCTCGCTGTGCAGCCGTTGTTTAATTTCGCGCGGGGTTGTGACCGTTATGTTTATAGCGCGCGGACAGATATTTATGCGTCACTCCTCTGAGGGGCGCGAGAGCACGAGTTACCGATGATGGGACGCCCGATGTCACAGCCACGGCGCGGCCTCACATCTTAGAAAAACACTGTCCCCGCGTATAAAACTGTATTCCACATTAAACTAGTCATCACTGTTCTCTCGCAGAATTACAGAAATCCGCGCGGAGACACAAAACGGTGTGGTGGCGCAAGACAATAACAAGCCCGCCGCCATCATCCATCACGCGCTGTTATTGTAAGGAGAGGCTGAGGGGTGATCTGTGCGAGACTGAGAGCTAGGGAGGCTTACGCACACACACACACACACACACACACACACACACGCTTGGGCAATAAAGCAGATCTAAACATTGTGAAATCTTCTGATAAGTCTTAAAATGAGATATGATTATAGGAATACTTTTTATACTCACACATTTTAGGCCTAAGGGTTTTAAATTAGATGTTTCGGAAAATCCAGACTGGCATTTATTAGCCTATTAAAATAGAGCTGTCATGACGCCAATTTGAAGACCTATCCTGAAGTCTAATTGGGTTCCCTCAGAAATATCCTTTTGCTTTTTATGCATGGTGGTTTATGATTAATGCGATTTTGCGTTCAATTTCACTTAAATCACACAAGGTTATATATCAAACGCAAAAAACATAAGTAGCTAGCTATTCGTCAAGACAATATATTTAATAGTGGTTATTTGTAGTCCGTTTAGCTACTTAATAGGAGCTTTTAAAATTGAAGTATGGTTGACTGCAATTTATATTGTAAAACAAAACAAAAATATTTTCAAGTGTTAGCACAAAAATTTTTTTTATAGTTTTTGGATTATTTAGTTAATACATTATTATTGTTCATCATTCATAATATCATCGTATCCATTGGCAAATACAGGTGTAGGCTAGTTGTAGCCTGTTATTTAAGCACCAATTGGAGCAGTAACTTGAAGATTTCTGTGACAATAGAGATCTCTATTTTTCATATCGCCTATATTTTTAGAGACTTTTTTTTACACCATACTTTTATTTATTTATTTTTAGCATTATTTTTTATAAAATTGTCTAAATCTGCTGAGACAATTAAAGTGGCATTTTCTGTGTAGACTTTTAAAGGCACTCCAGAGGATGTAAAAATATTTATATCTCACGCTAATAAGTTTTATGGGACATCTTTTTCTCACGGACGCTGGAAAGCTCCCCTCACCTCCCCTCAGAGAATAAGACAGAAAGATATTTTCTTTCGCCCCTTCTTCGTCTTCCTTTTCTGTCATCATCTGCAAATCAAAAGAAAGCATTTTTTTTTTTTATTTGAAGGAGTTCCCCTTATTTCCTGCGCGAAGCGCACGTTCATCGTATATATATATCAGCACGGATAAGTCGAGGCGCTCCATCACCTCAAGACCACCGCAGAGAACACTGAACACTGGCCGGGTCAGCTGCGTTCTGCCCGGCAGCGGGAGGAGGCAGGGAGTGTCGGTCATTAGAAAGATAAAGTGGACCCTGGATTCCCATGCGCTGCGAGAATATGGCTAATTGTTTTGTTGGACGGCTGCCCAAAACTCTCTTTTATAGTCCTAAAGTCTATTGAGAGGGAACATTGACATGTAGTCTAGATGCACATAACTAAAAACTTCCAGATAAGAGTGCGTATGTGTCAGCTAAAGTTTATGATGAGTCTTAGACGTTGGTTTTAAACGGCTAATGTTAAACCGCTCGTGTCTGGATTGCATCTGAGCTGGTTTGTCACCCTTCACTCAAAACTCCGTTCCTTTAATAGTTTTTCCAGTGGCTTAACAACTTTATTTATACTTGACATGAAACAACACATAAACTAAATGACCAAGACCCTTTAAAATGTTCTTGTGTGTGAGTGCGGTGGGAGAAATGCATCAATCATGACACAATAGGTTTCAGCACCTAGACACTGAACAGCGACTGAAGAGCTCAATCAGTCTCACTACTGTAGGTTACATCAGAGACGTGAAAACCAACACTGCAGCATTATGTATACATTTTGCAGGCTGGATTAGGACCAAGTGCACCGCAGAGTAACGAAGGCACAAATGTGACCCTGGATCACAAAACCAGTCACAAGGGTCAATTTTTCATGGAACATGATCTTTACTTCATATCCTTATGATTTTTGGCATAAAAGAAAAATCAACAATTTTGACCCATACAATGTAATTTTGGCTATTGCTACAAATATACCCCAGCGACTTAAGACTGGTTTTGTGGTCCAGGGTCACAAATACTTACAAATGTAAGAGTTTGCTTCACTGTAGGTATTTTAAAATAACACGTTTAATTGTCCTACATTTTAAGTAAATCCAAACTAACAACCTGCAGTAATGTGTTGATTGGCACTTTTTGGACCACTTTGAATTATTACTGATGAAGATTTAAACTCTGTAAACTAAAAAAATCGTATAAATTATTGTTCCATCCATTTATAAATAAAACTGAAATAAAAAGTTTATGACGTATAATATCCTGTTTTGTTTCTCCATTATTATCTCTAATGTTAGTGGTGTTTGAATTCATGGGGATCACTAATTAATTAATTAATATTACCTTTTAATGACTATTAATTATTAGCAAACACTTCTTACATAATATTGGGATTATTTTTGGAGTGACTGTATATTACACTGTTTAAAAAAAGTTGTTAATAATACAGTGATAATTGGAGTACTTTTACAAAAGAAATTAAGTGTTACTTGCCGCTTCTTTGTAATTATTTATAAAAATTACTAGCGATTTCTGAGACAAAATGGTTTCAAAGTAAATCCTACATCAATTTTTTAATATAATTATTTTTTTGTCATTAACTTTAATCATGTATTTTCGTTCTTAACTTGTATTTTAACTGTTTTAATTTATTTTTTAATCCTTACTGCAATGTGTCGTAAAACGTTCAGTGCTGGACCCACTTTCATGCAGAAATGCAATATTTAAACTGAAGGTCGACCATGTCCTGCAGAGGGAGCTATAATACAGTTGTTCACAGTGCAACTAAATTGTGTCACCAAGAGTTCAAGAAAATGGCCATTGGGTGGCAGTAAGACTGCAGACAGTCAACTACAGTATGATCTCTTATTTCTTTTAGCTTGGCTTTCCATGGCAATCGTGCATGTATGCGTATCTGCATATCGGCTATGAAATGAATCATTTTAAAAACGAAGATAAAGCTGTAAAGTCATGTAATGCAGTAATGCATTTGTGTGTGCCTGTGTCTGGTAAATCAAGGCTAAACTACTTCCATTTGAGTGAAATTGACCAGCTTCTCAACTGCCCCTGCCACCATATGCACAGACTCAAGAGCTTTAAATTCAACCCAGAAGCCTACTGCACATTAAAAACACACAAAGACTGTCCTTCATCTCTTAAGTATTTCATTAGAAAGTGTATTTTAAATTGAAGTAAATGTGTGTGTCTGTGTATTTTGACTCATTTGGATAAGTGTGCTGCCAGGGGTGGATCATAGTGAAGTCTTGTAAACTCTGCCATGATGAAAGTGCAGCGAATAAATTGCTCAAAGTATCACACAAGGTAAATGTTACAGGAACACGACCGTGAGCGTGTGTACAGGGTGTGAAATGTTTGTCCAGGTGGGGGTGATTACTGATTGAGTGGTGCGGTAGAAGAGTAATTCACTGCGAATCCTGTCCTTTGAGAATAAGCAGGTGTTTTTAAATGTATGAAATATTTTTGAGGGAATATTATGGGTTCAATACAAGTTAAGTTCAGCTGACAGCCTTTGTGGCATAATATTGATTACCACAAAAATTGTTTTGACTCGTTCCTCATTGTCTTTAAAAATACACAAATTTGAGGTTACAGTGAGGAACTTGAAAATAAAAGTGAATGAGGGCTTTATAAATTTTATAAAATTGCTTACATTAATTTTTCTGTGCATTATTTGAGGTGTCAAGTTGTTCTCATAAACACACTTGGTTTAAATCTCAATTAAATACACATCTTTTTAGCCAAGCATTCACATAATGCTTCTCATAAACCTACTACATTTATATCTGATCAAATAGTTCTTCAGCTGTTGCCTTCCTGTTTCTACCTCAGGATCTTCATTAACTGAATACATGATGTTTACAAACCACATATATGCATTATTGTACAGCTGTATATTATGGACATTACTTTGACACACTCATCTCTTAATGATGACAGAATACTTCCTTAAACATGCATCAAAAAATAATTTTGAAAGTGATTCCAATGATATCGTTCCGCTGCATTGTTATAGTTGTGGTGTGGATTCTGCTGTTCCTTTAAATTTAGAAAAAAAATGTAAGACTATATCTTTTTAGTTATTGTCTTGGTGCCAACTGGCCTGAACCCAGAATATTCCTTTAAATGCTTGTTTGTCTTTCTCATTTCTCTCTGTCCAGTTTGCCTGCCTACGTTTGTAAAAATTAATTTATCCAGCACTATAACAACCACTGCTGTTTCTGCACCCACTTTCTTTAACTGAAGCTCAGCTGTGTGTGTGTGCATATGTTACGATGTGTGCTGCTCTCTGCCCAAGCGTACACCTCCCTGATAGCCACACGGATCCAATTAAAGCTGGAATTCCCAACCTAAAGACTGGAATCATTCATGTCTCCACCTCCGTGATATTCCAGGGTGTCCCCAATCATGTGCCCTGTGTTTGTACGTGTGCATAGAAGCGTCAAGTCTGCATGTGTTTGAGAGTACTTTTGCATAAGCATGCAAACGTGTGTGTGTGTGAGGGGAATTCTGAAGATAATTGAGAGCGGGTGAGGTTCCCACTCTCCAGCAATGAACGCTGTAATAAGACTATGTTTGGGCTGAGACAGGGAGAATGTCTGATTTTAGCGTTCCTTTAAACAAAAGTGAACAGTGCTCTCATTCAAAACAGATGGTGAAGGTCAAATCGAGGAAACAGTGACAGGAGTGAGTGAGGGAGAAAGAGCGACAGACAGATGGAGTGAGAGAGACAGAGAGGGAGGAGGACAATAGAGAGACAGATCGAAGAAGAGGTAGAGGGGAAGTGAGGTGAGGTACTAAGGAAAGGAGAAAATTAGTGAAAAATAGTAGTGAAAAATAAACTCAGCTGGACTTTCTGATCCTTTGTGGGATGGGAATGTTTATACACTGTACCTGGATAAATGAGAGATATAACCCTGATTAGTCAATCACTTAACTAATCACAAGGTTAAAATCATGCTTAATTTTTTATTTTATATTATTTTTTTTCGAATATATTTATTTTAATTTATATTGTAGCCATAGGCTTTTATGTTGCCTTGGTAATATTTAGTATTAATGTTTGTATACATTGTAAATGATGCAACATGACTTTTTACTAACTAAACTATCATTATTAGTTCCTCGATTGAGGTGAGGTACTAAGGAAAAGAGAAAATGAGTGGAAAAATAGTAGTGAAAAATAAACTCAGCTGGACTTTCTGATCCTTTGTGGGATGGGAATGTTTATCCACTGTACTTGGATAAATGAGAGAGATATAACCCTGATTATTCAATCACTTAATTAATCACAAGTTTAAAATAATGCTTAATGTTTTATTTTATATTTATAATATTTTATAATATTTATTTTAATTTATATTGTAGCCATACGCTTTTATGTTGCCTTGGTAGCCTATACTTAGATTAATGTTTGTATGCATTGTAAATGATGCAACATGACTTTGTACTAACTAAACTATCATTATTAGTTCCTCGATTGAGTGCTTCAAGTATTCATACTTGCTTCTTTCACTGCGTCTCCGTTTGTTCACCCATGAGGCCACGATGCCCTTCCGGAGCGGCCAAGGATCACTTTTCACGCGACACCGGATAACAGTCTCCCTCCCGCTATTAATATTTAATCGAGCAGCGCGCCCGCTGCGGACAAATGATTTTTTATTTCTGACTGACGGCGGCCGCGGGCTCGAGTTACACTCGTCACGCGGGAACGAGCTTCGGGCACGGCGCACATAATTCACGCCAGTGCACGCGCTTGCCGCCAAAACCCATCAAGCGTCGCGCTGCAAGCACGAGGACGCGACAGTTTCATTAATTCGGGATTACGGAGATTTTTCGTCTAATTTATATGGATTAAATTAGGTCTACTTATTGCCCCTTGCCTGCTCATTGACATTGGAGATGTGTAGAGAAATCTGTGAGAGGTAAATTGGCCGTGTTAATCGTTGGCAGCTGGCATAAATGGGCCCTATAAATCAGGATGTAGCCTACTGTATTATATTTTACATAAATGAAAAATGAGGAGGA